AAAAACAAAGTGTTATAGTTTACAGAAGGTCTACCTACCTATAGGCTACCTGAATCTCTGAAATGTACTATATTCCTAAATATGCTATTGCTACACTTTATGGCAAAAATTTCACTTTTCTGTTGGTCTTTGTTAAGTATAGCCTTGAAAAAAATAAACAATGTTTTGTTGCTTAAGCTTATGTATTCAGTCATTATTCAATGGTATACTAAAATCCATGTGAAAAAAATTGCTTCTCACTGTTCTCAGGTCAAATATTTATATGCGATTAAAAATGCGATTAATTGCGATTAATTAATTACAAAGCCTGTAATTAATTAGATTAATTTTTTTAATCGAGTCCCGGCCCTAAGTTTTATATAATGTAATAAATAGCCTAATAAATGCAAAAAAAACTGTAGTTTTTGTCTGATATAACAATAAATACAACTTTATTAGCTATCAAGCTATGAAATATGTTTTGCGGCTCCAGACAAAAGATGTTTAAACCAATTATTTAAATGTGTTAAATTCGGCATCATGTAAGTTGCGCTGACAGGTCCACACACTGCTTCCCCGCAGCGAGGCTCCCCCGCCCTCCTGCTGATAGTTGACGGGCANCCCCCCCCCGTTGATAATTCTCGATCGTTGGCACGCTGATACATTGTTTTTTTTTAAATGGCACTTCATATCAAAAAGGTTGCCGACCCCCTGCTCTATGAGAACCGTTTTGTAGGTAGGTATTAGAGGAACAGTGTTATGGTCCGATGGTCTGATCTTGTTGGCATTGAATTATAAATTAAAGTTTGTTAATATTATGAATGAGTTATCTTAAATGGTTTGTGAGCTTTAAGATAATACTGTATGATACATAAAAAAAGTCCTAACTATATAATTGATAATTTAAATTAAGTCCAAAATTATGATCTAATTTTTATTTGTAATATTGCCAAATACATGATGCCTAAATAGACATAAGGGCTGACTTTATTTGAGGGATCACAAAGATGGATGATGCATGAGCACCAAATGGTTAATAAAGGTGATTTCACATAGGCCATTAATCATATGTTATTTATCCAACCCGGTATCATGGCAAGACGTGAACATGTGACGATTTACCATGCTGGGAGACGTGAAGATGTCACGATTTCGTCCCTTCAAACGTGACAGTTACACAGCATTGTTAACATGGCCCAACCAGTGGAGAAATACCCCGACGGTCGGTTGTTATTGTCAATATTAATATAATAATGATTTATTTGTAATAGTCACACTCGATTATGCCGATTTTCTTGTTGCCCCAGCTGGTCAACACCTCTTTTAGCAGAAACAAAGGCTACATTAATGTATTAAATCGATGTTAATCCATGCGTGTGGATGTGGAATTAACGGACGTGACGATGTGCGATTGCGTTGCCAGGCAACAGCTTCGGTTCATGTTAATTTACAAACTCTTCAACTACAACCGTAGTTACAGTACATTTAAAAACATTTTAGAAGGCCTCACAAAATACTTTAATGTACATTTAAATTTAAATGTGAAGGAATGTGTGTATAACAAAATACATCCGTCATTAACAATACCGGAAACAGTCGTAGGCAAGATCCTCAGCTCGGTGATTCGATGGTTTAGCCGCAATGCACGTTGGGAAATGGTGTTTATGTTATGTGAAATCTGAAAACATTTTTTAAAAATAAAATAATACTTTATTCCGAGTGTGCTTGCTTTTCTCTTTGAAAGTCATCACATAACGGCATTGTAATACACGGTTCGGCTGCATTAAATATTACATATCTGCTATTTATAGAGCCCTGATGAGAAGACTTCTAGACAAACAGGAAGAACTGCCGCCCAAACTGAAACTCGACGTGGATCATAAATATATATCACCAATTAAACAACATCTTCAATTTCTCTCTCTCTATATATATATATATATATATATATATATGTATATATAAACATATATATATGTTTGCAATTCGCCCAGCCAATCAGAAATTGGAACTTTTTTCTCTCTCTAGCAGGGACTGAATAGGGGGGAAAAGTTCTCATGAACTAAGTTCTCTTTTTGGTGTGAACGCAAAATCCCAGGAACTATCGGAACTAAAAGGGAAAAGAACGGGGAAAAGTACTCCGCTGTGAAAGCGCATAATAATATCCAAAATGTGATAAAAAAGAATATCAAACAAATGTTGGCCATTTAAAAAAAAATCATCCTACAAAAAAGCCTTGTACTTTCTTTGCTACTGCGCCAGCATCCTGAAGTATGGACAGTATTTACTTGACCTCTACTGAGACACAATGCTAGTATGTCTGCATGAACAGCAATAATTCAATGTTAAGTAGATTAATCAAAATGTCCATGTGCCTGAGCCTGTATCTGGTCGTCCACCTCGGGAGGAAAACTCCTGCGACAAAATGTTTTAGTGTTGGTCCGCTGATGTAGTGACCTCGATGTTGTTCTTTCAAAGCAGAAACATGGACGCAGCCATGTTCCTTCAGAATCACTACTCATTTTCCTTGAGAAAACAAACGAATGATCCAAAGATTGCTCAATAATCTGGATCTCGAAAATCTACCATATAATTTAGAGGTAATAGTCATGAGCAAGGTTCAATTATGATTTAGAAATGAGAGGAGTGACACATTTAAAAGTAACCACAGCACAGTGCGGTGATATGTGTGAGGCTAGATTATTGAAAACATAATAATGAATCATACACAGTATTTTATTCCACTGTGCAGAATTTCTTTTTATTATTTTATTCTGTTTTAACTTTTTTTCCTTTTACATGTGTTCAGTTGACAATATTTGTATTATAAAGATATATGGTTGGGAGAGTTACTTACTAATGTCAATGTATTCTCTTACAATTACTAGTTATCTGTAAAATGTAATCAGTAAATTAATGTAGTTATCAAAATATAAAACTAATGCAACCTGATACTTTTCATTACGTTTGGATTAACTAAATACAAGAATAAATAAATATCAATAAAACATTTACTTAAAGGTCACCTATCATGCTATTTTTAGGTAATAGCACAGGTCTTAGATATATACAAATATATAAAAAACATTTCTATGAAGTGTTTTGCTCAAAATACCAAACAGATCACCCATTCTAGCCATGCCTCATATCCCTCTATTTCACTTCCTGTTTCAAAAGAGCTGATTTTATGTATAAAGCTTTAAAAAATAAAGAAAGATTAAAAAAAAAGAGGGTCGGAACTTATGCCTGCTCATGCGGGAGATTCTACCGGCAGACACTGCGGAGATGATACGCCATATCATGGATTATCAAGGATTATTTCTGAAACAGTATGGAGCTCAAAGGCTTTCTCTCTTGCCGGTTATACCACAAGGTGAGTTCCTTTTTATTTCCTGATTCTTCAACCACATGCTCTCCAGTACAGGTTAGCTCTGAGTGTTAGCGATGCTAATGTAAACACCGACCATATTACGTCCAAAGAAGTCGGGCATTGTTTCTGATAGCAACGTTTCTGATAGTGCCGTGGGTCCGCCGCCGATATGACGTCCAATCACCGCAAATTTGGATCAGCTCCGCTGTACCCCCCGTTTTAGAGATTTGGGTACGGAGGAAAAGAGAGAAAGTTTTATTTTCTGACGCAGCGTGAGTTCCCTGACAAACCAGGGACACATATTTATGTATAAAAGACATCACAAAGTGCATTTTGCATGATAGGTCCCCTTTAAGTGTAAAATGTAAAACAGCAATGTAAGCTTAGCAAAAGATCAAACCCATATATTAAGTATTAGTAATGTCTCCTCTGCTCAGAGATTCTATTTTATATATTAAAAAAGCAGAAATAAAATTTGAGCTGACAGAAAATTCCCCATTTTAGTTTAACAAATCCAGTTAAACTCACAGACACTATTTCATGAACATACAGTATAGGTTCAACTACTGAATAAAAAAAAGAACAAATGAACCAAAGAAAACCATAAAGCAGATTCAGGCAGTAGGCGTATAGATTCACACTTAAAGTATTACTAACATTATTTAAGAAGAAACATTTGATCATATGTACTTAAGACTATC